ACTCTTTTCTTAATTTACTTTTCTTTCCTTCCTTTCCTCCCTATCCATCCTCTTGTTTCCTTTCCTTGGATACCCTTTTCTTCCTTTTCCATTCTTTCCTCCCTATTCTTCCTATTATTCCCTTTCCCTTTGTTCTCTTTCCTTCCTTTCATTTCATTTCCTTACCTATTCTTTTTTTCCTTTCCAACCGTTTCCTTTCTTTGATTTCCTTATCTACTCTTTTCTTAATTTCTTTTTTCTTTCCTTCCTTTCGTGTCCTTTCCTCCCCATCCTTCCTCTTGTTTCCTTTCCTCGGATACCCTTTTCTTCCTTTCCTTATTTTTCCTTCCTTTTGTTTCCTTCCCCTCCTTTCCTTTCCTATTCTCTTCTTCCGAGTCTTTCTGTTCTACGTAAAAACTCATCCAAGAATCCTCTCTATCTTAGAGCTGAGTTGGCTTTTTTACATTATAGTTTAGCAGGATTTGCTCTTAGTGGTTGGTCTAATTATCTGAAGCGATGCTCACTTTTCTGCCTGTTTTTAACCTGACTGGCTGCTTTTATAACAGGAAATATTTTCCCACCCCCCACTGCTGTCGTCTTTCATAGACACGTGGCCCCTCTCATGTCACCGTTTTCCTGAAGATGTTTGGGCTCTCTTAATGTTCCCATTTTCTCTCAGATGGATGTGTTTGTTTCTGGAACCTAATTATGGCCCGTTTCACTGCTTTGAGAGCTCATTTGACTCAAAGAACTCATTTGAGAAACAACCCCTGAACCAGTTATCCAATCACATTTAAAAAAAAAAAAAACGGCTGCAGATATAAATGAAATGAAACTGCATTAAATTTAAAGGAGGGAAAAAAAAGGTTATTTATCCCAAAGGGAAATTATATAAGGAGCTGTTATTATTAAAGCCTTCCTCAGTGAAGGCTGAGAGCCACTTTGGTGTCGTATCGATTATGATTACAGAGCTTAAATATGTTCCTGGTAAACAGCTAAAGTAACAGTCTGCTGTCCAATTATTCTTGGACCGAACTTTCTACTGGACGGATGAGCTCACTCTTTAACCCTATAATGCCAAATGTATCATATTTGATACATACGGTTTCTGAAACGTTTTGCATCTGACACTTTTGCATAATTTAACTCATTGACTGCCAGCCATTTTCAGAACAGAGAGTCCCATACTGCCAGAGTTTTTTGAGCATTTTGACTGATATTTCAAGAGCCACAGAATAGTTTGTGCTATGACTATGTAAACACCGAACACACCAAAAGAAAGAGTAGACTCTCTTCTTTCATCAGGAAAAAAAATAGTTTCTACCTTATTCCGTTCTTCCTCGCCTTGCGTCTCACCGGCGCCATGTTCTCTCATATCGAACCATTGCGTTTTTTTTATTTGCCTACAGTCTATGCTCATCTCCCATCAAAAGTGGCACTGCCCCCTAGAGGGTCAATTTGTTACTACATACTCTGTCTAGAAGCCGATATTTACGGACAAGCTTTAGCAGATCGTCCCCCAGCCACTCGCGTTGAAAAACATAAAAGACGTTTATAGACGTCTTTGGCAGCCAATGAGTTAAGTAACAGCTGGGACTGAAAAGATTCCTCATTTGCAGGGTAATAGAAACAATAAGACCTCACCTTTAAAGGTCTGTTTAGTCAGGATTGAAGCCAGTTAAGAGTATAAAAAAGATAGCATCTAAAGACCAACAACACGATGATTAAAGGCCTTGATACAGCAAAACAGCGTAAATGAATAACTCAACATGCTAAATGCAGACTAGATACATTGTTTTTGCTACAAAACCTCTAGTCTAGTCCCTTAAGAGGCTTTTTTTGGACCGTTAAGAGAATATTTTCCCCTTTAAAACGGCGCAGAGCAGCCTCTCTTCTCTCCCGCCCTGGAAAACATTCCCCTCCAGCCCCCTCTGGGTTGAGCTGCTGTTTAGTCACTCGGATAACATCATCTGGATTAGCAGCCTGCTGGAGAAAGTCACCAACGGGAGGCCGGATCTGCAAAACAGAGATGTTTAAAGTACTGGAGTAGAGGAGTGGAGTAGTGTTGTTTCAACTCCATACTCAAGTGGAAGTACTCAAATTTATTTGTACTTAAGTATTGCAAGTAGAAGTATTTCAAAAATTGCTACTCAAGTATTGAAGGTACAAGTACTGTGTATATAAAAAAAAGGCAGTCAAAAGTGTGATAGATATTGTTTGCATTATTTAAAACGTGTGAAAGGCTGTACAGGTGTTTACAAAAAACAAAACACAAATAAAACATCTCAAAAGGCCACCAACAGGCTGACCACGGCCTCCAGGTCAACCTAACCAGGTTTGTCTCTTAACCAGATACTGGGAATTCCACCAGTTGCTCACATATAATTTAGCAATCTTTTATAGGCTATTCTTGATGGCTCAAATCGGCCAATGAGGAGCCAGCTTCCCAAACCCTGACAGAGCTATCTACAGCTCTGGATCTGACTCTATGACTGGGGATGATTCATTACCTTTACATATTAGTAACGAGTAACGATTCAGCCCATGAAAGGAAAAGTAAAAGTATTAAATTAATCAAAAATATATAGTGGAGTAAAAGTATTAAATGAATCCAAAATATGTAGTAGAGTAAAAGTAATAGTATTGAATTAATCAAAATTATGTAGTAAGGTAATGGTAAAAGTATTAAATTAATCAAAAATATGTAGTGGAGTAAAAGTATTAAATTAATCAAAAATATGTATTGGAGTAAAAGTAAAACTATTAAATTGATAAAAAAAATATGTAGTTAAGTAAAAATAAAAGTAGGGGAAAAAATCTATAGTACAGATACTGCATTTTAGTACTTAAGTACAGTCCTTAAGTAGTTCAACTTCGTTACTGTACAACGATTCAGCCCGTTAAAGTAAAAGTAAAAGCATTAAATTAATAAAAAATTCGTAGTAGAGTAAAAGTATTAAATTAATCAAAAATATGTAGTGGAGTAAAAGTAAAAGTAGGGGAAAAAATCTATAGTCCAATAAAGTACAGATACTGCATTTTGGTACTTAAGTACAGTCCTTAAGTAGCTCTACTTCGTTACTGTACAACGATTCAGCCCGTTAAACTAAAAGTAAAAGCATTAAATTAATAAAAAATTATGTAGTGGAGTAAAAGTGAAAGTATTAAATTAAACAAAAATATGTAGTTGAGTAAAATTAAGAGTATTAAATTAATCAAAAATATGTAGTGGAGTAAAAGTAATAGTATTGAAATAATCAAAATTATGTAGTAGAGTAAAAGTAAAAGTATTAAATTAATCAAAAATATGTAGTGGAGTAAAACAGTCCTTAAGTAGTTTAAATTTGTTACTGTACAACGATTCATCCCATTAAAGTAATAGTAAAAGTATTAAATTAATAAAAAATTCTTAGTGGAGTAAAAGTAAAAGTATTGCATTAATCAAAAAATATGTAGTTGAGTAAAATTAAGAGTATTAAATTAATCAAAAA